ATGGGTTTTGGCTGAGAGGGTTTTTAACGAGGCACACCAACCACATTTATAAAATGACTCATTCTGCTCACAGCTTTTCATTTCACATGGTTTTAGTACAAATTATTTTACCTTACACTAAGGTCGAGTCCGAACCTTAGCACGAATTATTTTATTTTACACCGAGGTCGAATTCGAACCTCAGCACAAAATTCTAAGCCGAGGTCGAATCCGAACCTCAGTACGCATCATTCCATCTTAAGCCGAGGTCGAGTTCGAACCTTAGTACGAAATCTTAAGCCGAGGTCAAGTTCGAACCTCGGTACGAAATCTTAAGGCGAGGTCGAGTTCGAACCTCGGTACGAAATCTTAAGCTGAGGTCGAGTTCGAACCCTGGTACGAAATCTTATGCCAAGGTCGAGTCCGAACCTCAGAACGAAATCTTAAACGAAGGTCGAGAACCTCGGTATGAAATCATAAGTTAAGGTCGATTTCGAACCCCGATACGAAATCTTAAGCCAAGGTCGAGTCCGAACCTCGGAACGAAATCTTAAACGAAGGTCGAGTTCGAACCTCGGTATGAAACCATAAGTCAAGATCGAGTTCGAACCTCGATACGAAACCATAAGCCGAGGTCGAGTTCGAACCTCGGTGCGAAATCCTAACCCGAGGTCAAGTCCGAACCTTGGTACGCATTATTCCATACTAAGCCAGGATCCAATTCGAACCCTGGTGCAAATCGATGTGCGCTAAGCCAAGTATCAACACCAAAGCACAAAGTACAGAACCAATTTCGAACGAGTTTTCAAACCGTAGGAACGGGCTAAAACTAAGCCTAAAACCGAATTTCATTTCGCGCACAGAAACAAAAGGTCGAAATAGAACCATCAAAAGCGCAAAGGTGAAAAATCAGAAAAATGATATATACACAACAATGTCTACAAGTTCAAAACATGAATCCACAAGGAAAAAAGAAATAAGCACAAAGTAAGCTAAGTTATTATAGAATCGGCCTAGCTGGAGGCATTATCGCTCGAGCTGTCTAGGAGGTCGTCTTCCTTCACTAGCCTCCCGAATCGCACCTCCTTCTCCACATGCATAACGGAGAGGTCGACCCCAGGAGCAAGCAACCTTGCCTGATGAGCTGCCTTGACGAAACCTATCTTATGCTCAAACAAGACGGCTCGCTCGGTCTCCGCAAGCTTCCTCTCCAACTCTGCCTTAGCATCAGCCAGCTAATCGAGGTCCGCCTTCAGAGTCGCGACCTCCTCCTCCTTGCCACTAAGAATTACCTTGTCACAAAGACGCTTCTCAGTGGCTTGCCCCAACTCGGCCTTCAGCGCCGAGACCTCGTCTTCAAGATTGTGCGCTCGATTACGGGAGACGAAATCTCTAAGGACTTCTGGACCCTCACCAGACCCCTCTTCGTGGCTTGAAGCTCGGCCTCGTTCTGCCTCTTGGCCTCGTTCAGGGCGGTCCCCAACGCCCGATTTTCCTCCTTTAGCGGTTGGACTCGGCCCTTCACTTTCTCAAGGTCTCCTTGCTACTTGGACCACCTATGCTTCCAGTGGTCCACAATAGCCATTGTCCTCTACAGGAAGACCTCAGCAGAATCAAGGCCCTCCACTAGCCCGACCTTTTCAATCATAGCCTGATCAGCCGAGCGTAGCGAACCCTTGGGATAGAAGGTCTCCACGGTCACCCCCGCACTCCACAATGAGTCTATATCTGCCAAGGCGCTCACGTGATCCAATCGCGACAGAGGGCGATCCTTCTCAAAACATTGAGCGAGGTACTTGCTCCTGGGGACCCCCTTCGACGGACCAGACAGCAGCACCGAGGCTGCAGGAGTAGGTGTTGGCACCTCGGAGCTCGGCCCCTCTTTGCAGGCCTCGGTGGGAGTTGAGGCAGAGGACGCTTGCGCAACAGCAGGTGTGTTCAGCCTTGGTGCCTCCGAGCTCGGCGCCACCCGGGCCTCGGCAGCATCTGGCTCGGGCCCCGCCTACAAAAGACAAAAATTTTCCCCTAAGTCAGAAAATAAGAAAAAGGCAGTATAGAAGCGACATCACGAAGAAAGGTGCAAACCTCGGCGACATGAGCAACCTCCTCAGCGGCCACTTGGGAAACTCCCTCAGGTGGAGGACTCCTAGTAAGGTCAACTGCGTCGGCGTCAGCAACCTTCGAAGTCGCCTCCTCCGCATCTCGAGGGGCAGAGGTCCCCCCGACCTCTTTCTCCCCCCTCTTTCTTTTCCTGCGGGTCTCCAAGGGGGCGACCTCCTCCTCTTGAGGCTTAGGAACCTCGATCTCGGCAACATTGTAGCGAGACTTCAGCTCGCGCCACTTGCTCTTGCCCATTATGCCTGCAAATACAAGAATCAGATACATCAGTAAAAGAAAATTTTACAAACCCTAACAGCTAACGAGGACAAGGTACTCACTCTCTAGACCCTTTTCCTTGTACATCGAGTTAGCAAGCGACAAAACGAGCTTGCAATCCAAGGGACGAGGAAGTGCTTCTAGGTCTTTAATGGCAGCAACGTCCGAGGCCGTCAATTGCAGGTTGGCCAACCCATTAAACCTGGCTGGAGCCTGCCTCCAGTAAAGAGGGAACCTCGGCAACCCGCCGAAGTGGAACACCTCATCTTTCAGCGGGTCGACCTCCACGAGCAGAACCCGGAAAAACTCTTGTTTGAAATTTTTGTAAGACTGGGAGTAAAGAGAAAATAGTCCCCCAGCCTTGCTACCGTTCAACGACACCCAACCATAGGGAGGGACGCCCAGTTTCAATTAATAAAAATGAAGGAAAACAGGCAGAGACAACCCTATCCCTAGGGTCGAGCACAGGACTTGAAAAGCCCTCAAAAAACCCCAACTATTGGGGTGCAACTGGCAAGGAGCCGAGTTGACAAAATTCAAAAAATCGCACTCAAATTGGGTAAAGGGAAGGCATACACCTAAATCCCTGAAGAAACACTGATACATGTAAAAGAAGGGAGGGTCAGAGGTACCCCCCATATATACACGCTCACCGGGCTGACAAGGTTCAACCCGGATAAGCTTGGAAATGGATGGTTCATAGATCCTATGCGATTTCCACATCGCATTAATCTCCAAGAATGACTTGAAGACGCTCTGGAATTCCCCGACGTCACCCTTGACCCATTCGTAGCCAGGGATGACAGGGAAGGGTTCCTTAGGCTGGTTCCCCCCTTTCTCTTTTCAGCGGTGGCCGTCTCGGGGGCGCCCACCGCCTTGCCGCGCGCCTTGCCTTTACCCTTGGCCGACATGGAAGGAGCGTCATCACTGTTACCAGCCATCAAGAAGATGAAAAGATTTGAGAAGAAGGAGAAGATAGGGAAATTGAAGTACCTGGTACTCCTTTGACAAATGAAAGAACACTAACGAGAGATGGAGACTCGGTTGCCAGAGATGGCGACGGAGGAGAACAGAGATGAGGAAGGCGGAAGACGAAGAGTGAGCAAAGAAACGAAGAGGCTTCAGAAACAGGACAAAGGAAAAGAGTAAAGTGAAAGGAGAAAGGGCACGAGAGAGAGAAAAGGGACCTCCAAAATTCAAAACGACAATAACAGGTGTCAGCAAGGGGACAAGACCGACAACACATTAATGAGGCCCCATCATGATGAAACACTACCATCATTACGTAACCGTCATTCCCATTAACACGCCGCCTGCACGTTTTCAAAAACGAGGCGACGGTTATGACATGTGGCATCTTGACAGACAGGCGTACGAAAAGGGTCACGGCCCCTTATCGGGCTCGGTCTTAACTCCTCGACCCACGATCTTCGGAGCTCAGGGGGCTAGTGTACTATCCGTACCGCAATGCCGAGCTCGAGCTCGGCATCACAGCGCAGAGTGACCCCGAGCACAAGCTAGGCGACGTCAGCCCGACGTCAAAATAGGTCATAACTGATCTCAGGCCCAAGGCCCAATAAAACCCTAATTCACACAAAGGTACGTGCATTACTTATACGAGACTCATACACCCACAAACACTAACTTTAGCATCAGAGTCTCTTTTGCAGGTACCACCCCCGACTTGGAACAACAATCGTACCCAGCGAAGGAGACTCACCGATCTTACTCAGCAGATTGTCCCTACGACCGATTTCCAGTAAGAACACTATCCAAATTTTCTGGATCCGTCACTGAACCTCACTATCTCTTTTATAATAAATATAAATATATTTTTGAATGGTCTCAATATATTTGTAGAACAATATTACGTAATTTACATGAAAATTTGAAGACTAATTGAGAGACAGAAATAACTAACAATTGGGGGTATAAATATAAATAGCAGTTGCGTGATTTGATACCGAGACTATATATTTTGTGGCGTGATTTGATATTGAGTTACGATATTTTGAGAAGAAAGATAGTTTTTGGTTCCGTCGTGGCAAGTAAAGTTCAGAAAAGGGGTCCTACGCAATCGCCACGCATTTTCTTACCCAGACCCCGTGCCTTCTCTTCCGCAAAACTCTGGATTCTAAAACAGAGAAAGAAAGGAAAAGAAGACGAAAAGCCACATAACCATGCTTCCCCTTCAATTCAGCACCCTCCCCCATCACGTGCCATCGCTGTTTCTGAGCAGCTCCAGCACGTGCTCCTCTTCCTCTCCCCTCCGACACAGCAACAGAAACAAGGCGTACCTTCTTCGCTCCAACGTTGGAGCCCTCAACCTTAGGGTCTCCGCAGCGTCTGGTGACTCCGCATTGAAGATGAACCTCAATGAGTACCTCGTCACTCTCGAGAAGCCCCTCGGCA